ACCTAAACCTAAACCTAAACCTAAACCTAAACCTAAACCTAAACCTAAACCTAAACCTAACCCTTACCTTAACCCTAATCACGCTTTTGTGGGTGCGGTTTTGTCGGCGCTCTTTTGTGGGAGCGCTTTTGACCTCATGGTTTTCTTGCCGCGGTTTTGTCGGCCCGCTTTTGTCGGGCACGCATTTGACGGGTCACGAAACAAAATCACTTCTCAGCCTTAAGATCTGTGTCTTCCTCAGTTTAAGGTCCTCTACCAGAGGCCTGGAGGTTTGAGGCCCTGCATGGGATCTTAGCTGTTCCTTTGCCTGCAATCTTCTGGACAGGGAGATTTCTGAGATTTATTGGAGCCACTGTCCCAGCTTAGGAGTCACAGACCTGAGTGCTCCTATCACGAATGGGACCATTTTGGCTCCAGTTCCTCCTTTGGGACTTAGTACTTCTCCAGTTTCTCATAATCCTTCTTCTTGATATTGCTGTTACTGGGCGTTGCTACATCTATTGAAGACTAGACACACACACACACATACACCCCACACATTTATACATACCTACACGCACAAATATACATAATGTTACTGATCTCTATGTTTATCATCAGCATGTACTATTATACTATAATGTTATAATTACAGCGTTGTTGCTTACTCTTTTTTGTTTGTGTCATAATAGCCATTAATGACTCATCTAACTGTTAGATGGTGATAAAATGGATGCCGTTAAATATACTTTTGACTGTATTTAAACTAATACTATAATTCAACCTTTATTTTTCCCCCTACTATTCTCTCAGAGTAATCACACAATAATTTTTGGATCGGAAAGGCAACCCAGAGAGATTTTCTCTGTTAGTTTTCAATCTCGCCACAGTTTTGCGGCAGAAACCTACAAATTACCACATCCTGAATATGATTACCTCAAGATTTCTGTTTTAACAATTGATCTTTAAGTGCACTTCATCTTTGTTCCTTTGCCCAATACTCCAAATTAACAGGTTTTCTTAACAGGTTAAGAAAGATCTTAACGTGATCTTTCAGCTCAGTTAATGCTTTCAATGCATATTAAACAATATATAAAGCTAAGTGGATAGGAATGTAACAGACTGCAGTATATTTGCTTAAATATTCCATTAAATCGTAATCACTCTCATTAAAGACATTAATTCAGTAATTCATTAACTAGCCCACGTGGATGTTATTTTTTTCTTTCTTTGGAGATATGCGGAATGTGTCAAGATTCACATGCATTAGCTGCGAATTGTAAAGTTTTCTCAAGAGAATCATCCAAACCTACTTTATTGGTTATATTTATTTGAAGAGTTGCTCTTTGCAATTAAAATAATTATACTAAATATAAAGAGTATGCAATGGAAAGGAACGGGACACTGACTATTCTTGTTCCATTCTTTAGCTTTTAAACACAATTGCTAAACTGTGTTTAGATGCGACAACAGCCTTAAACGTAAAGATCATTCTTTTTCTCCTTTTTTTTTTCATTTCAAATTCATTTCTCCAAGTGTGTCTGCACTTACAGCTTCTTGATGACAATGTTGGCCAGATCTTCTTTAATTAAAACATTGGTTCCTTTGAATACAATTGAGAAGATGGGGCAGTGGTGGGTTTCAAAAATTGTTCGAACCTACTCTGTGGGTGTGGCCTCCTTTGTGGGAGT